AGGAGGGCGGCATTAGCTGCCAGCTGACCTCGCTCCAGCTGGGAGAAACAGAAACCCGCGGAGCGGTTTGGCGTCGCGCCCCGCCGAGCGGCGTCTGTTGGCCCGCCCTCAGAGGGGCAAGGGAGGCGGCAGCGAGCGGGTGGCGCTGGGCTCCAGCGTGAGCCGTTCCCATTGCTTTAGGTAAGGGGTCTGTGCATGCAGGCACTAGGATTCCTCCTCTGACGCGCTCTAAGGGGCGGATAACATGACAGATGACAGCCTCCCGCTCTCGGGGGCTCCGGAAAGCACCATTGCTGTCAAAGCGTTGGTCACCTGTAGCTCAGGACTCTTAAAAGGACATCACCAGACCCTTTTGAAAACAGACACCTAATTCAGTACTCTTAATTCACAAGGGGGCGGAAAACCCAACGTCTCAGAGCTTATTTCAATCATTTAGTGCAGGTGGGAAACACTTGAGGTGTCAGAGACTGCCTCACGCTTGGTACAGTTTCTGGGCAGTAAAATTTAACTTCCCCTTCTCATTAGGGGGACACAACAGAAGTAATTTCCTGCTATAATGGTTTTATCATCCAGTCTTAACAGCTAGAAATGCAGGTAACACTGATTATAAGTAGCACCAGAATGTTAGAATCACCACGTGATCCCTTCCCTCAAAAAACAGGACACAATAGCCCAAGTTACATAGAATGTATAAGAACTAATCTTAGTGTAGTTACCTTAATGTTCACTTTTTTTTTTCCCTTCATTGCATTAAGCTAAAGAACCAAATGTGTTTGTGCAGTTGACTTGATTAACCTCAAGTCTTTAAATGCTTACTCAGTCTATTTGTTACATAAAGTACATCTGTATGTATTTACACATACAACTCACATGTAAAAATAACTGCAGTTTATATACAATCACAAAATATGTTACTTCATTTAGTAAATTAAAACCCAAACATAATTACATACACATGTACAGGTTGCACCAAAACTTGAACAGAACTCATTCACCTTTAAGCTGTTTTACATAATCATTGTAGGAAAAATATATAGAGTGGTATCTTTAGAAAATGTTGTAGTTCTTCAGTGAAGAGCACAATTAGTAGATTACTTTTTTTTATTCATCCACATAGCAGTACATGCCACTGAACTGTTGTTCTAGAAGACTGATATTATCAGATCCTATATTTCTCTTTGGCTTTCTCTTTCAGAATGCAGATGTGCTAAAAAAAAAAAATAGTAATACAACTTCAGTCAATCTTTACCTTCAAAGAAAATGCAAGAATGATTTTCAGTTGTATTCCTAGCATTGCAAGGAAAACACAACAGAACAGTAATCTTTGTGAGTGAGTTTGGTTGCAAGTTTACTACTTGCAGTAAAATTGAGATGGTAATATTGCTTCCGAGCTCATCTGTAATTTATAGATTTGTATATTCTGAAGAGGTCAGGTTTGTTCAATTATTGTATCCTCCTTCATATAGCTTTGCAATAGCATACATCCATTATGTCTTTAACAACTGGTTTATCTTATTAAGAAGACTTCCCAGGGAAAAACTTTTCCACTTAACCAGATTTAAGAAAGTGCTTTTAAAACTAAGGAGGGGAAAACAAGATCAGCTCTTTCTGTCAGTTATGCTCTTTCCAAGTCTACTATTCAGTGCAGCCTAAGGAGACTATAATGGAACAAAACAAAAAAGATCTTGATGGACATGCAGGAAAAGCCTTCACACACAGTCCACACACAGCCATCTTAGAGACTTGGCTAGAAGAGAGCAACATAAGACTTCACTAAGACAAACATGAAATCAAAGCCAAATTACAAGTTACTTTCTTTTCAGATGGGGCCAGCAGATTGTATGCTGCCAACCATCCTGGAGGATTCAGAATACTATACAGCACAGCTGGGCCACAAGACTTGTGGAGTAGATTCATAAAAAGGTAAGGCATAAACAAGTTCTTACGCCTTTACGTGGAATTACAGCTTGGCATGTTAATAATGTTTTTGCCCTTTTAATGGAAGTTTCTAGACAGATACGAAGTTTTGTTAATTGTTGAGAAGCTCCTAGTATAAGCTAATATCCTTGGGGGTTACCTGTGGTAACAGTCATATATGTAACAGTCGAGGCACACATGTATGTACTTACATTTAGATCTCTGAAGTATTCATTATAATCAAGAGCATATCCAACCACAAATTTATCTGGAATTTCAAAGCCTATATCTGTAACAAAACAATTCTTTTTATACGTGGGTGGTGTAAATAGCTTTTAAGTACACAGTTTGTATTCAACACATGCTTCAGCTATTTAAGAGTAATACCTAACAAATACATCATCTTTCTTTCAAGGTACTTAGCATGCTTCTTTAAGAATCAAAGCCATAAATTGATGACAGATGTTAGAATCTATACCATCCCCATCAGTTAGTAATACAATTAAAATGTTAAGAGAATGTATTTTAAGAACAAAATTATTATTTAAAACCTACTTATGAGGTAGTCTCCTCCAGTCTCCCTGGGAGAGGGAGACAAGGAGTGAGATTTTACTTGTGTAAAAGTAGATGCACTACAACTCAGTAGAGATTTTCAGTTTGAAAACAAGGGAAGTTTAATGCCGAGTCAAAACAAATGCTTTTTAGGGTCAAAGCCAAACAATAAAAAAATTAAGGTTTGATTCTGTTTCTGGTATCTGGTAACAAATAGCCAAACCTGCAGTCAGACCAGCCAGGGAAAAAAAAAGCAGGTGGTCATGAGGTTTCAGCATAGGATAGCTAGTCATCAGTTTACAATTTTTTAAGTATTTTCTCCCCATTTTTCTTGTCCTTCCTGAAACTTTTATGCCAGTGTTCAGGCTTGCTGCATGAAGTGAAGTTATGAGCTTGGATTTTGGACAACCAGAACAAACACAATACTTACAGTCTGGTCTGTAACCTGGACTTTGATGTGTTCTTTTAACAAGCAGGCTGCAAGGCAGAGCAGAGAAGGTTTTTTAAAATATGTTTTGCTCTAAGCTGTATAATTCACTTCTCCCACCCCGCCCCGTAAGCTTCTACAATCATGCAGTTAAATTAAAGCAATGAGATTATTGTAACAAAAGGAAGTAGTGTTCAGCCTTATAATTGAGGAAGAAGCAAAGGCTCCGATCACTGAAGGTCCAAATGACTGTATTGTTTTACATTTAGTTCTCTTCAATTCTGTGTCCCAAATAATTATTTTTTCACATAGCATTGTATCAGCAAACTAGAATAGCACAGATAGGTAAGCAAGTTCAAGTGGCCTGTAAAGATTTTAGCAGGGAGGGAAGGAGAAGAGGACAAGCTGTGCAATGTTGCTACGATTTCTTCCACAAAGTCATATCTGTTCTTGCTTTTCCTGTGCACTTCTGAAGAAACTGAGAACCTCCTGGACATTCACTAGGAAGAGCATAACTGGTACATAGAACACAAAGTGTTTGTTCAAAGCATCATCATTACTTGACAGAGACGGGGATATTCCCAAAAAATTTTTTTAGAGATCATCTAAAAGTAGATCTAGAATGTTAGCACTTGCAAGATGATTTCAAGTGGCAAACTCTTATATTCTAAAAATCTGTATGACTGAGGATATTAAGAAAAATTCTGAGTGTGGTCATTGGAGTATTGAGGCAACTGAGGTGGTGTTAGGAAACCTATGGAAAGAGCTGAATTTCCTTCAAACATAAGAAGGTAAGAAGGAGGGAATCCATCAGACTTTATGAACTATGCAAAAAGAGCCAGGAAACCTTTTTTATTCATTTTGACAGTGAAGGTGGTAGTGCATATGTAAATTTCCCAGTTTAATAAATACTTAGTTTTTCACCAGCTGGATAAGGATTGCTTCCTGCTTTTACTTCCTCTTCCCCCAAACTTCAAACCAAACAAAACCAAAACACACACAGCAGCATACACCGACTATTCACCTAAATGATTTTGCTGTATCGTCTCGTTACAATACATTAGTAAGTGGTGATATCATTATACCTTACAACTTTTACCATCTTTGGTTCGTTGTCTTTTAATTTTGAAAGTAGCGCTTTTATTGTTCTACCAGTCTCAATAATGTCCTGAAAGAGATTTAAAAAAAAGTTTTCCTCTGAGCCTGAAAGAAAACCCAGACTGTCAGTGGATTAATTTAAAGCATAAAAACCAGTCAGCAACCCTGGTAGCACAGTAACATAGTTAATTGTTGTTTTATATGCAATAGGTATTAACTTGCAAAACGGAGAGAAAAAAGTTCATGTAGTTCCCTCCCCCAACACTCCAATCTTTACTTACCTCTACTACCAACACATTCTGGAAAAGATCATGTAGGGAGAGAAAGAAAAAAATATTTACATGGCAACATTCAGTGAATTTTACAGCCTGGAAAAGTTTGCACTACAAATTTCAGTTACAAGTAAGTTGCGGTTGATTTTCAAAGGAGCTTGTCACTTAACTACTTACATTATTTTAGTGCTTTCTGAAGAGTCTTTCTGTAAGTATTTATGGAAGCATAAAATATTGTGAAAAAACCACCTGTGTTAGATTTTATATATTATCCTATATATAGCAATAGCATCCTAGAACCATACTGTATGAATCAGTTTGAGATGGTTCATTTCTGGGGGCTGTGGGATAAATTGTGGAACAGGATCTTTAGAAGCATTCAATACTGATCGTGTTAAGTTTCCACGGAGATCAGTGGCAATTACTCACTGTTTCAAAGCATGGCATTTTAAACCAGTGTTAAGTGGTTGTAAATATGTAGTATCAAAATCTTAGTAAAGATGGACTTCCTGGAAAATACACAAAAACTGTTCTTTCCCCTTAAAAGCTGAAGATGCTAATTCATACCTTCCCATTTAGTGTAGACAGTTCCTCGCCAACAATACTGATTTTTTCTGTGGGTGAGTCATTCTAGAAGGAGAAAGAAGAGAGAGAAGTCGCATAAAACATGCTCAAAAGTGTTATCTTGTATGTGTATGAATGGTGTGCTGCTCTTGCTTTTCGCCAGTCAAATGACACTTGCAATTTTATGCAGCACTCCTTCAGTAAAACAGCTTTTTAGCTGTATTTAGCATGGGGTAAATTTTGATCAGTGCACAGAGCTCTAGCCTTCAAAAAGGGGAGAAAAGAAAACAGAAAAAATAGCGTAAGTCCTTGCTTTACAGTAGTTGGCTCAGGCCAGCTACAATTTGTTCAGGCAAAAGATACCTGTTTCCCCCCCCCACAGATTATGAAAACAAGTCTCTCCAATATTATCTATAGGAATAAAAAATAATGCAGAAAGAGACAATAAGCAAGTCTCTGATGCTCAGCTCCTCTCCAGACTCCCTCCTACCAAAGGGTGCCATGGTAAAGACAGAGTAGAACCTGTATGGAAGCTCTGGGCTGGAGAGGAGGACGTTGGAGACCTGACCCTGGCTTTGTCATGTTAAGTGTTCTGCTATATGTTCATTCCAGTGAATATACAATATCCATCTGATCGTTGGGGGAGATCGGTAAATCAGTTGCTTTTCCATACGTAATAAATTGAGTTGCTTTGAACAGGATATATGCATAAACTCAGTTTTTGTGGAGTTTTCATGTAAACTACCAGTATTCAGAATGTCAATCTATGGGGAGGGTCAATTTTCCAAAGAAAAGAAAGTGGCTTACGCAGTAACTTTTTATTCTAACAAAATCCACAGTAATAGGCACAGATTTATCACCATTTTGATTTAGTGCTTTAATATGGTCCAGCAAATCAGCAAAGAATTTATAGCCTCCTTTAAGGACACAGAGTGCAACAATGTGATGGCTTCCCATATCTTGCATGATATTTCTAGCCAGACGTTCTGTCCTGGAATGAAAAAAAATCTTGTACAGTGTTTTGTATATCATATTTGTTTGTCCATGTATTAAGCAATGTCCAAGTTAAAATTCTCATCTAGCTGTTAAGTTTTTATAATCAGCAAATTGTGACCACATTAAGACATAGGAAAGTTAGTCACATATTTGCAGTTCACAGGATGATGCCTACTCCACTTGACATACTGTTGATTTAATCCATATATCTAAACAATGCAGGATAGGAAAGGTTAAAGATACTTGAGATAACATGGAAACTTAACTGGGGTTGTAAAGGAATCCTCTCCATAAAAATCCTCTTGTATTAAACTCCAGAACAGAAGTGTTATAGCTGCAGGGTTTCCATGTTTCTCATGGGCTATGCAGGATAGGGCATCAGTCTTTTCATTTGGAGGGAAATGGATCATTTGCATCACTATCACCACGCTTTGTTGATTACACTCATACCTGTCCAGGATGAGTCCATGAGGAATGAAGACTCTTTCTAAATCTTCTTCATAATGCTTAGGAATGCAAAATAGATTTTTATTATAGCCACTTTCTTCATCTCTTATCTGCAAGTGAAAGGGAAATAACTCAAAGAGTAAAGACAGGGCCACACAGGAAAAAACCTTCCAGTCTCTGATAATGAAGAGAAAGACTCCTCTCCCCACACCCACAACAAGAGAAATTCTCAACCATCAACTCAAAAAACCCCAAAACAACAACAACAACACCCCCTTATATTCTCCATTCCCTCTTCTGCAGAGCGCAGTAGCTTGCTCGTGTGGTAGACAAGCGAAAATTAAAATTTAAGGCAAGTAGATTGATTTCCAGTCAGCGGGTGACTCTAGGATGCTGCAGTACCTTGACCATCATTTTCCACTGTGTAAAAGAGAAAACTCTGCCTTCTAAGCATGAATTCACAACTGAACTTTTGACAGAAGTAAGCACATACCAACCATCAGCTGTCTCAGAGGACAGGGGAGATGACTTACCCCAAAGGAGAAGCTTTGAGATGGTAGTGGGAGGAGGAGAAGCTGCAGAGGGTGCCCATAGGTGAGAACCAGAGACCTGCTGAGCTGCAGTTCAGCTTGTTTTGCTGTTTGCCCTGCTAGCGGATTGCTCCTCAGCATGGTTGGGGAGATAGCTACTTCCCACAGATCAGGGCCTTAACCCTTTTGGCATCAGGCTTTAGAACTACAGTTCTTTTTTCAACCTGCTGGCTCCAGGCTGTTGCACCCGGAGGTGTCTGGATGTCTAGAAGTTACATATTCTCCATTTGGGCTTCTCTTCTGACTAATCTTTTGACCCTAAACAGATCTGTGTCTTTGGATTCTACCACCCTTCAAGACTGTAATGGATGCTTTGGTTTTTGTTCATTATGAAGTGGAGGTACAAAAGCAGGCAAGAAAAAAATATAATGAGGTAGAAACAACTGTGAATAAGAGGGCTAATATACAAGTATTAGAAATAAGTTAAGAAAAAATTAGTGAGATTTTTGTCACATCTAATACTGCCCTGTTATTGTTAAAAAATACAGAACTAATTGAAAGAAAAATTAAAAGCTGGCTCAAAGTTTTACTAGTGCAAAATAGGTTAACTACACACCAGTTGCATTCAACAGAACTCAATACGGTATAATTCAAAATGTAAGAGTGCTACATTTTGCACATTTCTTTGGTGGAGCATATGTTCCACCAAAGCATATAGTCTGTTTATTAGGCAGCAAAGTAGACAACTACTTCAGTAGAAGGCAAAGTTTTAAAGGAATGGTTTTACTCAGTATTCTTGCTGAGACTAAATCTTTCTCCTGTCAGACTTGGCATGTGTAACACCCCTGTACCAACTGTGAAACATCCTTTGATTTTACTAAACAGGCCTCAAAACCAAGGACTTGGTAGCTTGCTAAGGGACAGCACAGAGCCATGAACTAGGCAATAATAGCATAAAGCATTGCTAACAAACAAGTTAACACCTGCAAACTCTTTAGACAGATGAATTGTTTTTAATTCTCCTTTTTTGGCATAAGAGAGATGAGTGCTTAGGAAGAAAGGAAAAAATCGACTGTGGGGAGCAGGAGTATTGCCCTGTAGGTTATTACTTGCAAAACTCACAGCAGCCACAAAAATGAGATAACCAATTACTGCTGTTTATTTTAAGTTGGCCACAAATAGCCCACTTCATTTAAAGATAAAAATAGAGAGACAGGTGTTAACAAGAATTTCAAAGAACAGATTATTGTAGTACAAGGCAATGCATATAGAATCTCATCCTGGCTGAACTAACCGTATTCTGCAATACTCAAAATTGATAGGCCTTGATGTTCCAAGTTAGACTTACAGAATAATAGCCTTGCAGTTGAGCACTGTTTAGAGTGTCAGCAGTACTATTTTGCCTGGTTTAGTTACTATTTTTTTTGTCGCTGAAGTCAGCAAAGTGAAAGCTTAGGTGAAGGATTGTCTTCAAATTAAGTTTGTTTATGCTTTATTAATCTTGGAAGAGATACTGGCAGTTACACTGGTATCAGCTGTAGATGAGGCTAGACAGTAGCATCTATGAGCAGACTTTAATGCAGTGTAGAACTGGTTATTGTTGTTTGAGTGTTATGTTAACCTGGTTGGCCGGTTTGAAATGGGCTAATTTCTGCCTGTGTGAGGTTGCTAGTGGTAACAGACAGAATACACATACAGGATATATATGGGATTCTGTCAACAAGAAGCAATGACGATAGGACATAATTGGAAGCATTGGTCAAAGTTAAAAGACAGTGTTTATTTGAGACTACTGGAACATATAAGCATCTTTTCATTTGGAGTACAGAAAAAGCACCTCTAAGGATAGTAACTGACATGATAAACAGTTTAGAAAGTGCTGTAGGGTGGGTTGTTTGTTTTGTTGTTTGGGGTTTTTTTCCCCTCAAGATTCCCATCTCTATTGCAGTCTGCATTAACTGCAGCTTAAATGCAATGACTATGCCACCTGCAACTTGAGCAGTTTTTCTTTTGCCTAGTTATGATACTGATTGCCATATTTAATGGATTTCAGCCTTACAATTTGCTTTTGCAGTTACAATTTGGGCTTTCATCTGCACAGCGAGTTAAAGTTCAGCCTTGTTGCCAATGAATTTAGCTTCCTGCTGCATTTGATGAGCGGCATCACAACTGGTTCAGCTTAAGTGAGGGATGAGCTTTGTCCATCTTAATGTAACTATTGAATAAAGTTAATCTTGAAGCATACAGATGTACATAGTAATTACTCCTTATAGCTACTTCAACAGTGCAGTTTCGTACCTTTTATTTGGTTAACAACTATGCTCATTGAGACTATTTCCTGCAAACAATGTCTGCCACATTAATATCTTGTTTGTTGCTATGTGTGAAGCATTTTTTAAGGCCTGCTGAAAGGTTCATGAACAGAACCTTAAGGATTGCATCAGTTTGAGCACCATATCACCATAGCAACATGCTGCATATACCTTACAGGCTCATAAAAGCATTTGTATTGTGGTACTTGCTAAATAATACAGCAGCATCCCATTGTAATAAAGCAGTCTACTAAACTATCACACAAAGTCATTAAATTTTTAAATCACAAGCTTATAACTTGAGGAATTAGTTGTTTAATTTAGATTCAGTCTCATCTGTTGTTCATTTACTGATGTAGGTTTCTGAGTTTAAGGAGAAAAAAAACCAATAAAATGAACTACAGCAATTATGTACAATAAAGAGATTCATAAATAAGTATTGTTTCATCAGCACAGAATGAAAGAATATGAATATAGGTATATTAAAGTCAAATAAATAGTGTAATAAATTTGTAAAAAAATTGAGTCGTATTAAGATGCCTCTGTTCTGAAGGCCAGTTTTTCTCCTGAGTAAATATAAGAAACAAGGCCTTTCATCAGTCAGTATTTCTAATGTTCTACTATTTTTGCTGAAGCTAACCTTTCGCCCACACTCAAAGCTCCCTTCAATCAAATAACCAAATATAAGTGCATTATGCTTTCTTACCTGCAATCCACGAGCCATAATCTTACTTTGAGCTATGCTATCGGAGAATGAGTTGGTATTATTACTGCAGTTTGTCTCACTCTATTTTCATCCTGCAGTCAGATCATGAGCTGCTTCTAAAAGGTCAAAACTGCCATCCTTCCTCCAGGAAGCATTACTTCCTTCTGCTAATGCACTGACATCACAATCCCAAGGTTTTACTTAATCAGATTAACCAGAAATAAAATAGGCGTTAGCCCTGCTGCAGCCAATCAGAGTAAAGATATGGGGAACGAGGGAGATGCAAAAAGGAAGCACATGAATCAAATTAGTGGGGAAGGACTAGGTAGGGTAGTATTTTTTTATTGAAAACAAAGTCAGGTATTTGGTTGTAGCAGATGGTAATTCAGTGGTAAATGTGTAGAAGGTAATTTTATATACCAGTTTCTTACACAATATTTGCACATCCATTGTTGTGATAAAGTCCACATCTTTTTAAAATTCTCGTGCTAACTTGTTGTCAAAAATCAGTATTTGAATAAACAAAGCCTTATTTTTAAAGATGACTTGAAGGAGAGGTCTGCAGCTGTTGAGACATGGTGAACCCTGTCAGAGACATTCTTCCAGGTCATCCTTTCATAAAATGAGGGACGATAGTTCCAGTAAATTGCTCCACATCATTTAAAATCAAATCGTGTTGACATTCACTGTAAGCTGATTATTTTAGTGTACCAAACGGCACTGTTGTCTGGGATTAACATGAAAGTCTTAGATTTCTAAAAATTAATCCTACTAACAAAATGAGCTAAAGCCAGCTTGCATACAACATGTTACAGAATGTTCTTACCAGAGTAGGTACATTTTATTAATTCAACAAACTAGTGTTTTCTTGGGGAGAGGGCACATTAATGAAAGATTTTTCTTGTTTCTTTGTAAGATGCTTTTCAGATCATGGCTGATAACACTTGGGATAATGCGGAAATGCTCTTCCAAGTGCACTAATGGGCATATCCACAGCTTTCAGCGATATGTTAAGTAGTAGTACTATTTGGGAACTGTTAATGCCCTGAGGCTACCTGGCCCCTATTTTATGCAGTTAGCAATACCTTCCTTCTATGAATTCCTTATAATATTCTCTACCTTATGTGTGTGAGCTCCCTATCTTGTGAAAAGGCTTGCTTTTCCAATTCCTAGTGTAAGGCACTTCTTTCTAGTTGGTAGTAACTTGTGTTCAAAAACCTGGAGAATTTCCTCAACAAAATCCTCCTTTGAAAGGAAACATTAACAAAAACCATACATGTAAACAGTGATAGCTATTGTTTGAGCAGAGATGCTCTCCCTTCCTTATTCTTGGGTGCCAAAATGAAGGTGAACAGCAGCACTGTTGAGGAACTCATGCAAACATACATTGCCTTTATAAGTGCTTGTGGATAAAGCGAGAGAAAGAAAAGGGGGGGACTCCCAGACTAGTTTGTATGTTTCCCTTCTCCTGAGCTTTTCAACCCAGTGTAATTTAGCTGTCCTGAAAGGATGTTGGTGCTCTGGAGAGCCCTGAGAGGATGATGCCATGATAGAATACTAAGTGCTCCAGTGTCGCTCATACTGACTGCCCATGTATCACACCTACAGCTTTATATCACTGGTTCTAGGATTTAAATAATTTCTTTTTTTTCTAATTATTTAGAGGAAAAAAAGAAGTGTATAGGTTTCATATTTGTTTGTTGATTCTTTTGTAGTTTTCCACATTTAAAGAGATTTTAGTGTAGTTTTGCTAAAATCAACAGTATAGGTGAGACTACTTATTTTAAACCTCGTTCAAATGAAGGGGCTAATTATTGGCACTATCTCCAGCAGTCTAACTGAGCACAGTTACTCAAATTACAGTGCAGAAATATTATGTGCATATCTGATATGATTTGTAGCACCCAACTTAGCTCTGACCTTTTTTTAAATGCTCTGTTCTTCTCTATATTATGCCATTTTTTGCATGCTTAATCTCTGTATAGGGAAACCTTGACTGCAGATCACACATACTAGGCAGCCTTCTCTCTGAACAGGCCACCTTACAATATTCTCAAGCATAATATGTATGCTTTGGTTCTGTCTATTAGAAGACCACCTCTGTTATGTAAAATACTTCTGTAAATCCCTGAAGTTGTTACTTGAGGCAAGTTTGATTGCACATTACTCACATTTTTATAAATTATACGCTGGACCTGGCAAATCTTTGTGTCTCCTTTAAGCACCATACTGTTTGATCTGATTTAAACTGGGCCCAGTTCTAAAGTCCTGTTTAATTCTGTTTCAGAAAAGGGTTGCAGAAAATCCCTCTCACTGACTTTATTTCTGAGTTTTTACTGCATTGGGAATATTGTCTGAGCTACAAATGAGCAGTGACTTTTTGACTAGATTCCATGTTTAGAAGGAGCAGAAGAATTTCAATCATAAGGGGTGCATGCATATATATGCATGTATTATATAGTTATTAAATTTTATTAACAAGTACTGGTTTCTCTTTAGAGAAACTGACAACAAAAGAGACTGTTGTGACATTGCTTCGTGATGTGGATATCTGTTCAGCTGGAATGAGATTCCACTAATTGAACTGGGAAAATAGGTATATTCTACTAAAATCCCCATAGATGGAAGATGTCAGACAGGCTACCATGTGGCCTCCAGAATTTTATGAAAGGATTCATGAGAAATAGTCAGATCAACAGCCCGTGTGGGGGAAAAAAGTAGATTTTGGAACTCTAGGAGGCTTGGAATAGAAAAGTTTAGTGTTGGGAAAAACATACACTTTCATTAAACTTTAAGCTGGTTCAAGAAGCCTCCGCTCACTCTATCTGAAACTCAGAAAACTATTTCCCAGATCCCCATACTTGTTTTAATGAATTTAGGCTTCTCAGTAAATTCCATCCTGAAAGGATGTTGGTGCTCTGGAGAGCCCTGAGAGGATGATGCCATGATAGAATACTAAGTGCTCCATAGTAGTAACCACATACCACTATCAGCCGGCAAGTACTTGAAAATCCAAAAATGTGTTAGTGGTCTCAATTACTAGTGGGCTGACATTTGCATTATGAAAGCTACTGCTACAATGAATGTTTTTATTGTCACATTCTGAAGAAAGAAAAATTCACAGGTGAAATGTTCATGCTAAGACAGCCCTTTGTCGTTACTGAATAATGAAAATAGAATGTAGCCAGCTGGCATCCTTAAATGGTTTCTCAGTTGTAAATTATGTGATCATACTCCCATAGGAAAGAACAAAAACATTTAAGTGTATATGTGTATTTGTTCCATATAGGAGCAAAAAAAGTGCATCTTTAAAAAGTGCATCTTTTTAAAGTGAAATGTTTTGAGGAAACCAGTGCACCAAGCAAGTCGGGTATCAATCTATTGCCCTCCTCTAAATAACAGGATACTGAAACAGCCAGTAAGTGTAGCCCATACAAACAGACTGGAGATTAATTAGATCAGCACTGATAGCTGGGTAAAACAGCAGCCAGTCAATACAGAACAACACGGCTCTTGTCCTTGTATCTCTTCCCTGAACTACTGAATCAATAATTAGTTTTTTCAGGACATGATTTTGCTGTTTACATACCTGTCTACGTACCTAAGGTTGTTAAACATTTTTACATTGTATTACGGTTTGAAGTAACTGGTCTTGAGACTGCTGCAATAATTTTGAAAGTCCTCAAGATACGTTGTATAGGCACAAATTAAGTCCTGTAAGCCATTTCCTTTTAACTATTTTAAATCAGAAAGCAAATACATGATATTGGATGTATTGTACAACTGTTCCATTAAATGACTAAAACCTTAAAAATAAAACGTTAGAGAAATTGTCCACTAGAGGGAAGCCTCTACCATGGAAGACAATACTTGCCAAAGGGGAAGAAAAACCTACATTTCATGAAGCAAACTTTCTAGACTAAGAAAGTCTGTGTTCATTTAATAAGTATAAAGATATAGATATTTAATAAGTATACAGATATCTCACTGAAATACAAATGCAATCAGGTAATTTAAAACAGGCATCTTAAATATTTAGGCCAGTTCTGAACTTGTATAACTATGGATTACAGGAAAGCTGCTCTGATTTGCACCACTAAAGACCTGACTCAACATGGGCTCCATGTTCCAAGTGGCTGATAAAGCCTTAAATTAAAACTGAGCACTTGTATTCAGTGAGTGCTGTGTTATTAGGAAACCTGATTAATACACTTTGAAATGGCTCGACTCTGTTTTATTGTTTGGCACTTTTAAGTCTTAGACAAGACCAGCTGCTTAATTGGTTTGCTAAAAAGCTGTTTGGAAAAACCACACTGCACATCCCGTGGTAAACAGTGCATGTTTACAATTAGAAATTAGAAACAATTTCACTATTTTAAGTCTTTATCATATCTACTCCTGTACATTATGTAGCTCTTTTACATAGAAAATTTCATGAGTATAAACCTTCATACTTTCCTTGGCTATTTTCTCTCTGGTCTGAATATGAGATTTTTATTATTTTACTGAAACAGAAAAGTGATCTAAGTCTTGACCAATATTGGGTATTTATAAATGTTGTGCTTGAAAAGGTCTTCTGCTTTTACAACTCCTGTAATACCCCCAACATCTAGCAAACACAGACTGACTGATGGCAAAACTTGAAGGAGACACCCCTGTAAAAGGTGACTCAGATTTAAGTTTGAAAAATTCTTGAAAATACCCTGACACCAGTTCTTAACTAGACGAATGGCAAATTCTGCAGACTCAGACATTCTGATTGCTGAGTTGGAGGAAATGTACAATATTTATTAACAAAGTCTTTCCGGCCATAACATAAATGGTGGAATGACTGTATGAAGGAAACGTTTATATACCTTTTGCTACATTTGTTTTGTAGATAGGAAAAATGCTTCAGTCTCCTGGACTGTCTATATTAGAAAGTCATTTTGAGAGAGTATCTGGTTAGGACTAGAGCAGAGAGACAAGGAATCAGGACTTCTGGATTTTATTCACAGCTCTGACACACGGTTTATTTGCTGTATGACCATGGCCAATTTATTTTCCTGACTGCTCCTGTTGTACCTCTGACCTTCCTGTGTGCCTGCTTTTCCCCGTTGC